CCCTCCGTAGATCGCCCCCCCATTAAGCAACCCTCGAATAGACCTCCTACCCTGACACGTCGATTAGCGAGTTTACCGTTTTCGGTTCGCGAGAGGGCGTCGCGGCCGTCATTCCTGCGTGTCCACGTCCGTCGGTTTCGGTCCTAGGCCGCTTCCACTGAAGGATGGTTTGCTAAAGGGAGGTTTGTCCACCGCCGAGACACCCGAGAGTTAACGGGCAAAGAATTGTATGACATAAACTGTTCCGTCGCCGGGGGCGTTGCCCCAGGGCGGCCGGACAGCTTATGCCTTGACGTGCCACCGCAAGGGTATAAAACTTCCAGCCGCCCTGGGACAGGCGCCCCCGGTGACGAACAAGTTGATTTTACACCGTTCTTCGCCCGTGAAACGAGGCCAGGTACGCCAGCCGCTGCCTCGACGCGGCGGCGACGCTGGTACTGGCGGTCCATTCTGAACACCCTCACTCCTGGGGGCCCCTGTCGGGCCCCGGGGCAACCCACGCGGCAAAATCATCGCAGAAGATGGGGGCGGACATTTGTTTTTGAGTTGAAGCGGTTCACGGGGCGCCAGAGACCAGGGTTCACGACGTGAAGGGAGGAGGCTGCCCTACGGTCTGTTAGCCTGAGGTTCCCAAAGGATGGTTACTTGCCAATGGGATGTCGAAGAGGGGAGGGTGGCCACCAGTTGCGAAGTATTGTCATGACGATCCAGAGTATACCAGTGACAAGATCTTGCGTTTGTGTACCACACACTGCAGGGGTCGGTTGATCCGACGGCGAGTGAACGCGAGATGGGAAGCGGGCTCACGATGTCGTGATGCAATCTTGCTGTCTCAAGCTCGCCGACCTTGGCAGAGAACTTTAGCGGACGTATCGTAAGGTATGTCCGCGATCGAAAAAAAAACACGGTCGAGCAATTCGTGACTCGAAGCCGAGACGATTGGGCTTTTATGTTTTTTCATGTCCAGCAGCCTGGGGATGTTGCAGTCCGTGGGATATCTTCCACAGAAGTGACAAGACTCGTTGCATCAGGACTCTGAAATGCCTTGATTCTTAGCCCCTCTTCTGGCAAATCCAGCGCGCCCATCAGGTAAGGGTCCTCTTCTTGCCGTCCCTCTGTCATTCTCCCTCTTCGGCCCACCTCAGTCTTGTTCCCGCAAGCCGTGGAGGAGCTCACATAGAACTGACTAGCTTAGGTGCTGCGGTCCCTGGCTGACAGAATTTCATCCGGCAAATGTCGGCCTCCTAGATGGGGTCCTAGCAGGTGGGGTCGGAGGATCGCGCCGCATCGCCGATGCTTCGCCGATGCGGCTCGATGTAGAGTCTGACTTTTTCCGCGCCGACGGCGCCAGTACATCGCCGATGCCTCGCCGATGCGTCCTCGATGCATCGCCGATGCATCGGCGATGCGGCGCTATCCCAGAAGCACTCGCGCTTTCTGAAAAGGTTAATGCGTCTTCGGGGAAGGCTCAGAAACCTTCTCAGAAGGCCGGGGGACTTCCGAGCCTTCTGCGGAGGCCCGCCCCTTCTCGTTTCCCCCCTGGGCGCGCCGCCGAGTGAGGATCCGGAGGACATCGTGAAGCCCGTGGACGATGAGCCGGCGGCGAGCTCTGCGACCGCGGACAGCCAGGGTTGCCACCAATCGCTTCGGCGCGTCGGGCGGTTCTTCCTCGGATGGGGTGTGGGCCCGGACCCGCGCCCGTGCGAAGCAGTCCGTCGTCGACGGCGCGGTCGCAGACTGGGACGACCGACAGAATGGGTACAATTAGGTCGGGCATATCCTCCCACAGGCAGATTTTGGATCAAAATTCAAAGTAATCGAAACATGCTCAAAAATAGTCAAAGAAGCACGAACCTTCGTCACCATATTGTTTTTTAGCCATTCTTGAATATACCTCCTGTAGAGGGACATGCCCGATTTAAGGGTACAACTGTCGACAGCATTTCCTGATCATTTTGAGCAGGATTCGTTGTCGGTGCCGCCGCGGACATTGTCCGGCTGAAACAGAAAGCCGCCTGCCCAACAGCGGCCGCTGTTGGCTTTCGACAGCATGTGTCGTCGGGCACAGTGCCCATTTGTTCCGTGATTACCCAGTTCGGGCGTCCAAAGCAGACGGGGGGAAGCTCGTGGAACCCTCGCGGGGCTCGTCTCTCTAAGATCGCCCTGGGCGCGCTGCATGGTTTCCGCCCCTCTCGGGGGCCTAGTCTGAGGCTCACACAAAAGGCAGCGCGGCTTGGTGGGAAAGCGCCATCGTGACAAAGCGTGTGCGAGGCCAGGAAGGGGCCAAGAGTGAGTGGAGTTTTCCCCATTGTCCAAGACTCCGTGGACCCTGATCCCCACCCCACCAGTGCCTAGAACGCCAGCCAGCAAGCTGGTCCTTTGCTCGAAGTTTGCTTTGGCTTCGTCACCAGAGACCCTCTCGTTGGTCCCAAGGGTCTGTGAGGGTGCTGGAGCTTCCCGTGGTGCTTCCGAGACCCAGAAAACCTCTCCGAAGAGAGATGCCGAGGTGGACCATGCCAGGAGCATCAGCATCAGCCAGACAGCCCAATCGCCGAGCGTTGCTGCGCCGAGCCGTGCCCGGCCCTCCACAGGGCTTTTGTCTCCTCCGTATAGAGGGGCAAGCTGAGATGGCCGGCTCGGCTCCTCGCCGCCTCCTCCCCGCCCTGCCATGCTGTCCTCGTGCCCCGGAAGCTTCCCTCTTTCCGTCTTGCTCTTCTTGCCCTCGTCTGCCCAGACCCTCTCGAGTCATGAACAAAAATCACGACGGAAGGTTTTTGCCATTTTCGGCCTCCGGGGGCCCTTGCCGGGCCTCGGGACCGTCAAAAATGATTCAGGACGGACAGCCGGTCCCAGGGAATGGGTCGAGACGTAAGTCGTGCCCGTCCCTCTACAGGAGGAGTATTCAAGAATAGTAAAACAATAGTCGGGGGGCGATGTTTCGAGTATTTGTTGTTAATTGGTTTACCATTTTCGGCATATTTTTCATTTGTCCTCCAAAATCCGCCTGTTGGGGGACACGCCCGACTTAAGTCGAGACCTCTGGGGGTCGACGTTATTACACAAATCATGGCGTCGGGGGTCTAGGTTCCTGGCTTCCTCGCCCTCGCCTCCCCGCTCTTCTCCGTCCGTGGCGCCGCGCCGCTTACCTTCGAGCTCCGCCCAACTCGTCGTCCCCTCGAACAGTGGCGAGGCGCCCTGGTTTGCTCAGTTGTGGGCCCACCAGAGGATGTTCTAGGCATTGTTTGTGGATTGCACGAAACGCTCTTGGAACAGTTCTGGCTGAGACCGCCGTATCTTGAGCACACCAGCTACATGTTCTACGTCCCTCCTCGGAATCGAACGCAAGTTCTTCCCGCGACGCGGCGGCGCCGCAGGACCCCAACATGTCAATGTCCGCGCTGAAATTGGCGACTGCAAAGCACAACAATCTGACCCCGCGGGCCTCGCTTCGCGCGTCTATCAACATCAGCACCTTGCGTCGGATTTCGAGGGGGGGGGCAAGAACACGGCTCCCCTGTCAGGAAAGCACGAAGTTTAGAGCTCTTGTTTCAGGGCCCTGAGAGCACTTCGCGACGGGCCGATGCAGGAATGTCCGACGGGTCCCCGCTCACTCCCAGCCAGGCCCCCCCTCGGTGCCTGGGAGCCTGGCCGTAGCCGTCCTCTCCGGGGGGCCCGCGGCCCCGCCCGTCCAGCCGGGCGCCGCGCCGGCCGCCCGTCCAACGGCTTGCGAGGGCCCGGCGGCGGGGCCGCGCTCCATCGCTGCTCGCCTGCGGCGCCGGCCGGGGCCTCGGCGAGGCCGTGAGGGGAGGGCCCGGGCCGACCTTCCACCACCTTTGCCGTGGGCGGGACGGGGGAGGAGGGAGGACGGGGAGGTCCTCCCCCTCCTCCTCCTCCTCCTCCTCCTCCTCCTCCTCCTCCTCCTCCTCCTCCTCCTCCTCCTCCTCTTCCTCCTCCTTGTCCTCCTCCTCCTCCTCCTCCTCCCTTTCCTGCCTGGGGTAGTGGTGGTGGCAAATCGGCCCATCATCCCCGGCGCTCCCGGGCATCAGCTGGAGTCGAGGGGGGAGCATTGTGACCATGATCGGGCGGGTGTTGAAGGGGGGAGGTGACATGCATGGGGGGTTTGAAGAAAGGGCCCTTGTCTTCATTTCCCAGTTAGGTCACTCCCCCCTTAAAATACTCTAGGCCTCCTAGATGGGGTCGGGGTAGATGGGGTCGGAGGATCGCGCCGCATCGCCGATGCATCGCCGATGCATCGCCGATGCGGCTCGATGCGGACTCCGATTTGCTTCACATCGACGTCGCCGATGTATCGCGGACATCGACGATGCATCGTCGATGCATCGTCGATGCATGGGCGATGCATCGTCGATGCATCGCCGATGCATGGGCGGTGCATCGGCGATGCGGCGCGATCCACCGACCCCATCTATTTCGACCCCATCTGGAAGGCCTCTAAACATCTGCCCGGAATGACCAAGACGTTGTTGGATCTTGTCGACGCCGATCTTGGCTTGGAGCCGGCTGGAGCTCTGAGGTGGCCCGGCACTGGTTCCGGCCAGCAGGAAGGGCGGGCAGGTTAGAGGTACTGGGTCTGGGAAGGTTTCTTGTTTTTTTCGGCCCAGGGGCCGTCTTCGGGCCCCAGGACCGCTCCGGGTTGAAAAACTGCACCAGGTGGACCCAGGAGGGGTGGGAGCACCGAAATTGATCGGATTTGGTATCATCCCCTCCTTCCTGACCGATTTGCTGGAGTCACAACCAGTTCTCACCTCCCCCAGCCGCCTCCAATTTTGGCTCTTGTCGAAGCCGATCTTGGTCATGGTCCATGCCAGCCTTCGCCGACTCGACAGGATGATACCCGAATCGACGGTGACCAAGATGGACAGTGGCCAAGATCGGTACCGACGCTTCCGCGGTCAGCCTTGGTCATGGTCACTGGTTTCTTCCTCCAGCCCAGAGGGTGCCTAGCACTGGCATTATTCGGATCGTGGCCGAGGGCAGAAATGGCTGAGGTACTGGCCTCTGGGGGGGCCGCCACCTCGGAGGGGCACGAGGTCTGCGCTGGCGGGGTCGTGGCCGAGGCCGCGCCAGCGTCGGGGGGAGTGGCGGCCCGGATACTGCGCAGGTCGCAGCACTCGAGGCTGCTATTCTGCGAGGCGCTGGTGTGGGAAACCGCGGGCGGCCGTCTTCTGCGGTGCTGGCTCAGGTTTGCCACGGAGCCACAGGACGCAGGGGAGCGAGAAGTCATGATAACGATGCGTTTCAGGACTTCAAGGTTTTCTTGTTCGCCCGCGCTGCCAGGCACGGGTGGCCGAGTAAGAGTGGCCGAGGGCCGCCAGAAACTCCAGAGCTCCCAGACCGCATCCTGAGCCTATCGCATCATGACGATATCCCGATTCTGAGGACAGCCGCTCGTTGACATCGGACGCGACCGCGTGTTGTGCTGCCCCGCGGGTCGGCGACGCCATCGTCGCGCAGGGGCATTGGGAGCGCCGCCACGGCGAGCCCCGCTTCGCGGTGTCGCTGTGGACACTCTCCGAGGCACATCAGGCCGTTCACGGCGAGCGTGCCTTCCAGTGCTCTGCCTCCAGCGGAGCTGTCGGAGCAGAAGGTTTAGGTCCAGTGAGCTTGGTGCTGCAGTGTGAAGGCCGGCGGCAGGCGCGCATGGACCAGTATTGCAAGGAGATGTTTCCAGAGGCAGTTTTCACTGTGTCGATGCCAGCCCAGGGCTCCCAGGACTGGCTGCTGCTGATTCGGCCTGAACTTGGTGTAGGCGCAGCTGTGTTCCTGCAGACGTTGCAGAGCGACGCCACCGTGTGCCAGGCCCTGCGACGCGCGTTTATCGTGGAGCCAGTGCCGTACCTGACGTTCCGCGCTGCATCGGATGGCTTGGCAGCGCTCCTGCGATCGAAGGGGGATGCCTGCGATGCTCGAGTGCAGGTGCACCCGCGGTACATGGAGCGAGGGGTCGTCGACTGCTTGGCCCAGGCGGGCTGTCTCCTCTCGCGCACTGGCTCCTCGCACACAGCCTCCTTGGTGTACGCCGACGCGGTCTACTACGTGGGCCTCTCGCGCAGGGACCCCTCGGGGAGCGAGGGCGCCGCGCTGCTCGGCGGTCCCTCTCGGCCGCCCGCCGAGCCGCGGCTGTGCAGGGCGCAGGCGAAGCTCGCGGAGGCGCTCTCGCGCAGCGGCTGGGCCGAGGAGCTGGGCGCGCAGCCCCCGCGGCGGGCCCTGGACGTCGGCGCGGCGCCCGGCGGTTGGAGCGCCTGCCTGGCGACGCGGTGGGGCTGCCGGGAGGTGGTCGCCGTGGACCCGGGCGAGCTGGCGCCCGGCCTGGCCGGCGCGGGGGGCGCGGGCGGCGCGGGGCGCATCCGCCACCTCCGCGTGCAGTGGCGGGAGGCCCTGCAGCTGCTGTGCCGGGAGGGCGCCGTCCTGGACGTGCTCGTGTGCGACGCCAACATGCCCTGCGACCGCGCCGTGGAGCTGGTGGCCGCCGCCGCGGGCCTGCTCGCGCACGGGGCCCGCGTGGTGCTGACGTTCAAGGACTGCTCCAGGAACCGCGCGGAGTTTGAGCGGCTCAAGGGCCAGCAGATCGAACGGCTGCGAGAGCTCTGCACTGAGGTGCGGGAGGTGGCGCTGGTGGCGAACAGGAGGCTCGAGACCACCGTGCTGGCTCGCGCGATGCGCACCGTGGCGAGCACGCCACTCGCTGGTAGTCTGAGCGAAGCTTAGCCAACTTGCTAACACACATGTGGTTCCCCACTCGTGCATCTGTACTTGGCTGCCTCGACATGCCCGTTTTGAGACGCAACACGTACCGTGTTCAAAACGTCAGTGTCAATACGTTGCGTGTTGGCTCAGCGTATTGGCCCACGTTTTGGCGAACTTATACGTGTTGAGTTCCGTTCCACTACGCTACGTGCTGCGTGTTGCGTATGGGGGCAGCTAAGCATACGTATACACATATGATTCGAAATTGTCGGCCTTACGTGGTTGCGTATGTGTCGCGATTGCCATTGGCTAAGGGGGCGGACCCATCCGCATACCATAGCACAACACCGCACCGCATCGGGTTGCACATTGCAGCATAGCATACCCTTGCGCATACGTCGCATATGCTGGTGGAGCATAGCGTCTCGCAGCATGGCGTCGCAGGGCGTTGCATCGTACCGTATATCACGGCATGTGATGCGTTGTTTGGAGCTCGTGTGTATCATCAATTGGTGACGTGGTGTTTTTTTTGCTCATTCATGCTTGTCCTCCCTTCGGCTTACTTTGCATGCGTTGGTTGCATGTCGCCTGTCGGAATTAGATTGCCTGAGGCTCGCCGCGTTTGATCAGGTTCGGGCATGCTCATCGCTCTCTTTCAGCTTGCGATTAACTTGTGTTCGCCTGTTCGGGTTCCGTACCCATTAGTTTCCAAGCGTACTTGCAGCCTGCTCATACTGTGTATTAGTCGCGCTATGCAATGCTATGCAGTTCCAGTTCGCTGGCAGTCATCTTGCATTTGACGTGAATGTTGCTGAACGTTGGCTTATCTTTCGGTTGCGTCTGACTTGAAGTCGACTTGATCCCACGTGGCGTTTGCCTGGCATGTCCGTTTCCGTGTGTGTGGGTGTTACTATTAGGTTTGTCAGTTTGTTTTTAATTTGTTCGGGCGCTGGATGCCAAAACGATGGGGCCCCGGGCCCCTCGCGTTCCCCATCGGTTTTACTTCTCCTGCCCCTCCTCGTCCGTCACCGTTCAAGGAAGACGAGAGGAGGAGGATGAACAGGACGATGAAGAAGAGGACGAATACGGTACACCAGAAAGGACGACTTGTTTCTCTCCCTCCCGATTACATCTCGCACGTTCACCTCCTCCGCAACCCTTCCCTTCCCCTCCCATTCCCCTCCCGCTCTCGTTCCCCCCTGTCCTCCGCTTCCTCCCTTCCACCTGTTTTTCCACTCTTCTCCTTCTCCTTCTTCCCCTCATCCTCCTTCCTTGTCCGCCTACTTGTCCTCTTCTTCCCCGCATCCTCTTCCTTATCCTCCCCCCTTCTCCCTTCCGCATCATTGTCCTCCTGGTGCTGCTGCTGCTGCTCCTCCTCTTCCTCTCCCTCCTCCTCGTGCTCCCCGTCTTCTTCGTATACTTATCCCCTAAGCTTGTGGAGGTCGATCAATGGAGAGGAAACATGTTACCAAATCATTTCAAGATGCCTAAAACATGTGCTAAACATGTTTTAAACATGTTTTTAAACCTGTAAGGTTTAGAACATTTTCCTACATTGTAAACAAATTCTGAATTCAATGATAGGACTGTTCGGGTGTCCATTGTCGTGGCATCCACCACCCTAAGCTTCGAGGCGCCAGTCTCTGACACACTCCAGCCCACCAATAACGTGCGCGGCGCTCCAGCGACCACTCCCTCTCACGATTGGATGGCCTGGTAGGTCGCACATCATTTCGTCCCCGCCTGTGGCAACGCCCCCGCGCAAGCGATTCCCTTTCATGTCGTCCGAATTCCGTTTCGTCATTTCTATTTTGTCCAATTCGATTCGTCTGCTTCGGTTCGCCCGCTTCGAGTCGTCCGGTTTCGATTCGCCTGGGCTTCGAGAGATGACGAAACGAAAGAGGACGCATCGAAAGCGGACGGAAGGAAAGTCCACCGCGCAGACCTTTTGGGCATGCATGCGCCCTGGGGCAGTCAGTGCAGCAGCCCCCCAAACGCTTATGCAAATCCCTGGATGCGGTGGGACGGCCCGCTCGCTAAACGAGGCGGATCTCCCGTCTCTGCGGCTCTTCCTGTCAGAGGCTAGCACTCGGAAGCGACGCGCACCCTCATTCGCCGACTGATCGGCATACGGTCGGGAGCTTTTGATTAGCGTGTCGCTCCGCCGGTTCTGGCTCACCACGTTTCGGCGCGGCACGCTGTCCACATCTTGGTCCCCCAGCGTCAACCTGCCGAGCCTGTCCGAGCATCCCGCCCCGCGGAGCGGAGCAACATGCCTCCCGCTCTCAAGGGACAGCGTGTCGCCGGGGCCGCCGCCGCGACACGCCAAGCAAAAGCTTTCGACGGTAATTTTTGTCGTTGAGGTCACGCTCGGGGACGCGCCCCTCCCGGACTGTTTCCGGCCCAAGATGACTCTCGATGTGGTGTCGCGAGCTGAGAAGTTCCCATGCCTCCAAGCTCTCCGAGACGCATTCCGAAGCGCTCCCAGGCATACCCCCTCGCAGCGCCATGCGCTGCTGTATTCTGGAGAGCATCCGCACAGCTGCGGCATCAATAGCAAACATCGAGCCCGTCACTGCAACGATGGCGGGGGTCGCAGCCCACAGCACTTGGTACAGGGCATACTGTTTAGCCCCGTTCGTGTCCTGCGCGGCCCGGAGGGGGCAGTCGTAAACGATGACCGAGGGCGTGCCGTTCTTCGAGCAGTGGCGAAGCGTCCTGGCATGCCGTGGATTGTTCTAAGAACCTTCTGTGGTTTGCACGCGATGTTCTTAGAACATTTCTGGCTGAGGCCGTCTTCGTTTGATACAGGTATGTATATCTCGGCTCCACGTTCTAAGAAAAAGGTGCTTGTTCTGGAAAGTTTTTTTGTTCTGAGAGCATGTCGTGGTAGGCCGATAGGAATGTCGGGACGGTCGGTCACTGCTCAAATCCCCAGCAAGGGCAGCAGCAGGACAACCAGGGGTCGTGGCTCCAGACCGCTCTACCTCGAAAGCAGACCCTTCCAAGAGAGCTTCCCTGGACAGGAGGCTGGCCTCACCATGCGCCCACCTCAACCCGTCCCCTCGGGAGCCCTCCAGGACCAGGCGACAGAAGGCTGGAGCCCTCGTGTGCACCAAACCCTGGCCTCCAAGCCCTGTTCCTCGTGCAGCGTGGGGATAGGCGGAGCCGGGTCTGGATGGCTACATCGCACAGGTCGATGCAACAGGTCGCCTTCGGCACCAGACAGCTTACACGCGGAGGATTGCGGCAGACTTGACTCGGCATTCGAGCCATGGGCCATGGATCATTGCATGCGGCAGACTTTCGGTGGGCTCTGGCACCCCAGACGAGGGCGACGCCCTTTCCCGCTCTTTTTCACCCGCGCATGCTGTGCACAGCGTCTTTCAACAGCTTCAGTTGCGTCCCCGCACAACACGCCCCACCTCGGGATCGTCGCACCCGCCTCCTCATTCCCCTTCTCCCCCTCCTCTGACCCTGCATCTACGTCACACCATGCCTTGGGTGTTCGATCATGCGCCCCGTGTTGAGTCCAACCGTCCAGCTTTCGCGCCGAAGACCGCGGTAAACAGCCAAAGTCCGTGGGAAACCGCCGAAGCGAGGTTATAAGACCGCCGAAGACCACCAACGACCGCCGATGACCGCCGAAGACCGTTGAAGACGGCCCAGGAGCGATGGGTAAGAAGGTTTCCATGGTCGAACACGTAACATTCCACCTCATCCCTCCTCTTGCGCAGCCCACGTAGCCCGCCGATCGCAGACGCATGGGCGGGGGGGTTCTCCGTTCCCGCGGCCGCCCAGTCAGGAGACCCTGACGGGCGGGCTCGCGGTCCCGCAGCAGCAGTGACGCGTGGAGGGGCAGGAGGAGTAGGAGGGAGGGAGGCTGATCAGGAGGAAAGGGAGGGAAGGACGAGAAGGAGGGAGGAAGAGGAGGAGGAGGAGGAGGAGGAGGAAGGAGGAGGAGGAGGAGGATAAATATTAAAGATGATCGTAAGGAGGAGGAGGAGGAGGAGGAGGAGGAGGAGGAGGAGGAGGAGGAGGAGGTGGAGAGAGGAGGAGGATGAGGAGAATGGAGGAAGGAGGACGGAAGTCGAAAAAGAGGACAAGGGAGAAGAAGCAGGAGGGGGAGAAGGAGGACGACGACACTGGGAAGCGCAGAGGAGGGATGAGAGAACAGAGATGACCTCCTCAACCCCGTCCTTTTCCTCTTCGTTCCTCCCCTTCTCTCTACTCGTCCTCCCTCTTCCCAACCCGTTTCCTCATTCTCCCTTCTCCCGTCTTCTTCCTCGTCTTCCTACAGAGCAATCCTACTTGCTCTGTCGCTCCTCTCCACCTCTGCTTCTCGCCCCTCCTCCCTGCTCCATCTTCTCCTCCTTCTCCTTCTCCTCCTCCTCCTCCTCCTTGCTCCTCCCTCTTCCCTGCCCTCTCATTCATTTCGTCCCGACCCCTCTCGCATTCTTCTCCCCCAGACGTGCGATTTTCTTTTGTTTTTTTCAGCGCGGGGTTCCCAGCAGCTCCGCCCCTGTCCTGAGGACCGTTTTTTGTCATCCCCAGTCGTCTTTCGGGGGCGGTCCTCGGGCCCAGCGAGGGCCCCTGGAGGCCCCAACACAGCTAAACGCCTCCCGTCGTGTTTTTTTTGTTCGCGGCGCGAGCATGTCTAGGACCCCCCCCCCCGCCACACCACCCCCTCGTGCAAGAGGGGGGGGGTCCTTCTCTTCCTGCTTCTCCCTCCTCTCCCCCCCCCGCTCATGCATTTCGTCCTCATTCCTCTCCCCAGACCCCCGACGTCATGATTTTACCATAACGTCGACCTCCAGAGGTCTCCACCCATTCCCTGGGACTGGTTTTTCGTCCTGAGTCGTTTTGTTGACGGTGCCGAGGCCCGGTAAGGGCCCCGGGAGGCCGAACATACAAAACAAATCCGTCGTGGTTTTTCCCTACCTAGGCTCTGCCTAAAAGGGTTCTTACTCGGTTTGCTTAAAGGGGCCAGGCAGTGTAATGCGCCCCGGGCGGTTCCCCCG